TTAAAAATTTTTAAAAAGAAAAATATGGATTAATAATGTCGAAGAGTTGGGGACAACTATGAATACCACTTTCACAGGGTCTTCTGTTGTAGGAAGGAGAGTATGACTATTACTGCTGTACTTACTACTCATCTTTATTGTGTGGGACAAATGCAGTACAGAATCCAAAAATGTAGGAAACCGTGCCATTTGATTTTGGACTTTACCAAGACCAGAGACTAACCCTACCTTCTCTTTTGCATTAATAATTAGAGAACAAAAATAAATGTGAATAAAACATATAAAATGACCAAAAAAAAAAGAAAAAGAATTTGCCACAACAGGAAGACATCAATAAAACCAACACAGGGGCCCCCGGGTGGCTCAGTCAGTTGAACGTCTGACTTCGGCTCAGGTCATGATCTCACGATCCACAGGTTCAAGCCCCGTGTCAGGCTCAGTGCCGACAGGTCAGAACCTGAAACCTGCTTTGGATTCTGTGTCTCCCTCTCTCTGACCCTCCCCCGCTTGTGCTCTCCCTCCATCTCTTAAAAATGAATACACATTAAAAAAAATTAATTAAATTTTTTTTAAAATTAAAAAAAACAAAACAAATATTGTACAACTTATTGTGAGGAGCACTGAATAATGTATAGGATTGTTGATCACTGTATTGTACACCTGAAACTAATGTAACACTGTATGTTAATTATAGTGGAATTTAAAAAAATGTTTAAAGAAGAAAAAGCCACTATACAATAAACACAAAACAGCATTGCTAGGCACTATTTCTTGTGCTCAGCACTGAGCTTAAGGCTTATTCTTTGCTTGAAAAGCAGACCAGCAAATGTTCTAGAGGCATAAAAACATAATAACCTCTAATTAAGATTTTCTCCTTGATGGGGAAAAATTGAAAGAAAAATTAAAGGGAATCCATCTTTCACTTCAAAGTGAACATTACATAGTGCCACCTAGAAGCATTTCACACGCCACAGGGGGTACATGCCCCACGCTTGAAAACGTTGCTTTATACCACAGACACGGGAATAGAAAGTCGTTCGATCAGACACTACCCCAGAACCACCTGTGGCATAATCCTACCAGCCAAAGAGCAAAACTTAATTACAGAAATCAGGCTTGCTTGTGAAAGGCTAAGTGGAAAGACCACTTGCAGATAATTACAATAATCCAGGTGACATACGGTGCAGAGCTGAGGCAGAGGTCGTTGAGACCAGACGGGAACGTCCTCTATAGACACAGGACTCAACTTCCACTGGCTGTTTTCCAGCTTCTGCTACAGCAAGTGTGGGCTACTCTCTCCCCAACACCGTTTCCGATACACGGGGTTGTCTCAGCTAGGGGTCCCAGCCCTACTGCCAATACCCTTAGCCTGGAAGATGCCCTCCTCGGACCCACGGCCCCAGTGGGCCCCCACACTGCCATTAGCCAGGAAGTGCCCCACCTCTAAAACCACTCATCACTCACTCTCACCCAGCGGGTGCTGGGCCCCATTCCTGGGTGTCACCGATGGGGAATCCCTTGTCCCATCATCACGTCCTCTGTTGCTAGACTGAGCGCCGCAGTGCTCCGTGTAAGCCAACCTTATTCAGCCTCCTGGGTTATGGTAATTCTGAAGGCGCAGAGTATAACTGCCACCCATCAGCAGTGACAAAATTAGCTAAAATGGCAACTAATTGATGTACCATGTTTTATAGAATATTCATTTGCCACATTATTATATTTTAGCTTTACAGTATCTGGAAACACGCATCAAGGTAGCTGGAACCCGCAGGTTAATGTCAGAGTCCTGACATTAGGGCCCAGCCAGCTTCGTTCAGAGATGGAGTCGCAGTTCTTGGAAACTGGAAAAAGCAGGGCAGGCCTCTAGTATCAAGGGAAGCAAGGGTCTCTGAGGTTGTAAGGAGATGGGCGGAGTAGAAAGAACAGAGCAGCAACCCAATTATGGGGAACAGTTGCTCCGATGTTAGCCGCAGAAGCAATGCACATTTCAGAACTAGGTTAGCAGGAAAATAAACCGCGAGGTTGAATCAATCCTGACTTGTTAAATTAAGTTTCGTAATTGCTCCTGAGGACAGAAAACCGCACTCTTTGAGACGGGGAAAATTTGTTGGTAGGAAACAGATGTCCTCAGCTGTAGGGCGGAGGGGACTGGGGACAGGAGGCCGGGCGGCTCACCCTGCAGCTACCAGCATCACCACACATGGTTTCAGAAACACAGTGGTGGTCTTATTAGGACATCCTCACTTGAGTCCTTCCTCTAGGCAGCCAGCATGCCTCAGCTTCCTCGGTGTCACTCCCACTTAGTTGTCCTTAGGAATCACCCAGACTGCTCCACATTCTCTTCTCCTCTGGCTTTGTGGAGTTCAGCAAGCTCGGTGTATGAAAATCCCCAGCGAGGGCGCCTGGGTGGCTCAATCAGTTAAGCATTGGACTTTGGCTCAGGCCACGATCCCACGGTTTGTGAGTCCGAACCCTGCTTCGGGTGAGACCCCCCTTCTCTCCCTCTCTCCTCATCTCTCTCTCCCTCTCTCTCTGCCCCTTGCTCACTTGCCCCCTCTCAAAACAAAACAAAACAAAAAACAAAAAAAGAGTGCTGTTTACCCTTTCCTTATATCACAGATTTGTTTGAAGAATTTGAACTATTCCACCGAAACACGCTTATAATGAAACATGTCCCTTTCTAGATGACGGAATTCATCTCCCTGTTTTGAAATCCAGGTTCACTTTATCTATCATTCCTAGTCTATGTTTTGGTACCTGAATGTTTAACACCAATTATAGGAATCATCCTCATCTTTCCTTCAACACGAGGAAGCCAATGAGTAGAAAAGAATCTTCTTAGGCCCAAAGTCAGAGGTATAGCAATAATAGTAGTAAAGACATAGTAACTTTTTTTTTTTTTTCAAGTTAGTTACCACACAGTGTAGTCTTGGCTTCAGGAGTAGAACCCAGTGATTCATCTCTTACGTACAACACCCAGTGCTCACCCCGAAAGTGCCCTCCTTGATGCCCATCACCCATTTAACCCAACCCCCACCCCCAGCAATTCTCAGTTTGTTCTCAGTATTTAAGAGTCTCTTACGGGTTTTGCCTTAATAACTTCTAATTAAGATTTTCTCCTTGACAATGGAAGAATTGAAAGAAAAATTAAAGGGAATCCATTTTCCACTTCAGGGCTCAACATTATATAATGCCCCGTGAGACACCACCTAGAAACACTCTGTATCCCCCACAGGACATTTGTAAAACCTGGTTTTATGACACTGATGCTGCCTCAGCACTCCTGCCGCTTCCAGCCAGGGCGGAAGCAATGGCATGCTGAGTTCAGGGGTTCTACCCCCACCCCAGCACACACACCCCCCCCAAAGATAAGTCTCAAGGTGTGAGGGGGTGTGGGAGATGCTTACCTTGACACTTGCTCCCCAGCCTTTGTACCCCATCAGATGCCTTCCCTTGCTTCCTGCTTCCCTTATTTTAAATATGTTCCCTCCCCTGGGCTGTGTCTGCCCTGTTTTTTTCCTCTGGGGAAAAAAGCCTCAATTTAGAAAGGTTTCAGGAGAAGGGCGCCTGGGTGGCTGTCTGTTAAGCGTCTGACTTCAGCTCAGGTCATGATCTCATAGTTAGTGGGTTTGAGCCCTGCATTGGGCTCTGTGCTGACAGCTCAGAGCCTGGAGCCTGCTTCGGATTCTGTGTTTCCCTCTCTCTTTGCCCCTCCCCACTCACACTCTGTCTCTGTGTCTTGAAAATAAATAAATGTTAAAAACATTAAAAAAGAAAGGTTTCAGGAGAAAAGAGCTAATGACTCAGAAGAAAAAAAAAAACATACAGTAGGAAATATTTCCTAAAATATTGTCCCCACTACACATATTGAAGTGTTAGCTTAATTCCAGATTCCTTTTCCCTGCTGGTCTGTTTCCAGATTCAGAAACATTCCAAAAGTCCATCACAGAGTGCTCATCTGTAAAGAGCGAGGACATTATTCTCATCTGTATTCATGACACGCATTTCTGGCAGAAAGGATATGTACATATGAAGTTACATATTCTTTCCGGTGGCACACATACATGACATTTAAAGATTTTGATTAAATTCTTTTATGTTTGAATTCCTTTCTTCTCTGTTGCCATTAGAAGTTGAACCCTCCAGGGGCGCCTGGGTGGCACAGTCGGTTAAGCGTCCGACTTCAGCCAGGTCATGATCTCGCGGTCCGTGAGTTCGAGCCCCGCGTCAGGCTCTGGGCTGATGGCTCAGAGCCTGGAGCCTGTTTCTGATTCTGTGTCTCCCTCTCTCTCTGCCCCTCCCCCGTTCATGCTCTGTCTCTCTCTGTCCCAAAAAATAAATAAACGTTGAAAAAAATTAAAAAAAAAAAAAAAAAAAAAGAAGTTGAACCCTCCAAATCCAGGAAGCACACTGCCCCAGTCAGGGACCCTTCCTCACTTCTGGGTACACGGACGGGATCTCCAGGCCGCGGGACACAATGCTGGCTGACTTCTCAGTGAAGAGCTGTGCTCGTTTTCTCATTTCTTGCTAAGCAGATTCCCGCGTGATAAACCCCTGATCCCAAATATCATAGTCACCCACACTTGGAAGAAATGTTTATATTTTCTGTACTTAACATCACCTTTTTTTTTTCTTTTAATTCCAGCGTAATTAACATCCGGTATTATATTAATTTCAGTGCAGTGATTCCATACATCCCTACATCACTCAGGGCTCATCAAGATAAGTGTCCTCTTAATCTCCGTCACCTCCATCACCCTTTTTTGATGGGCTTTTCACACGGCAACTATGGCTCCATTCCAAGCATTGAAGAGACGCTAAATTGGCCTACTATGCTGATTTTGTGTAGTATTTGCATTTTTCCCACAACTCCAGAAGATCACAGAAAGCCCTTATCTCCTTTTCTTTTCCGGCGTGTCTGCTATAAGACTGCCACCCTTTCACATAAACCTCAATGGCAACGTGCAAAAATCAACAAGGGAATGAAGACGGGCACTTGCCTTAAGCTCATGGGTGTCAGCCAGCTGGGCTTTGAGCTCCGTGTTCGATTCTCGACACACACTCAGCTCCTTCTGCAGCCTCTCCACCTTCTTTTGCAACTTCCTTAGGGTGAGATTGGCCTCGTCCCTCTCTACCGCCAAGGCCGAACGCACCTGCTTCTCCTGCTCCAACTGGGCAATTTTTTGCCGGAGAAGGTTCACATGCAGTTCTTTGCTCTCCAGTCTTTCTTTCTGAGTCTTGAGCTGATGTGACACAAACGGGGATCTTTTTTTTTTAAATAATCACCGAGCAGTCAGTAAATATAAACGAATTACTCAGATGACATTGATCTTTATCTGCACTTCAATTAGACTCATCTATAAACCCTCAGAAAAGGTTATTGGATTCCTTTTCTTGATTGCATTTTTTTATTCCTGGTTTTCCAAGAACTAATTCTGTAGCTGCAAAGCATGAGACAAAAGAGCCACAGAAAATGCACAGAGAAGTAGGCTTTCCACCTCTGATTCCCTCCAACATTATGTACACCATAACAGACATGTACGATTACTTTCAAAGCTACGAACGTGGGCTTATCAAGATCAGAATAGGGTAGAGAGACAACATCCTCTCTACCACCCCGTGGCACTGGTCTTTGCTAAAAGAAAATAGAGTGCATGTTAGCACCAAAAACCGAGACTGAGTCATTTCAATCCCTTGGAACCAGACTGAGTGATGCCAAACATGAGAGTTGTTATCTTTTTAAAGTAAGTTATATCATTATACATGGAAAATCCGATAGACTCCACCAAAAGTCTGCTAGAACTGATACATGAATTCAGCAAAGTTGCAGGATACAAAATCAATGTACAGAAATCAGTTGCATTCTTATACACTAACAATGAAGCAACAGAAAGACAAATAAGGAAACTGATCCCATTCACAATTGCACCAAGAAGCATAAAATACCTAGGAATAAATCTAACCAAAGATGTAAAGGATCTGTATGCTGAAAACTATAGAAAGCTTATGAAGGTAATTGAAGAAGATTTAAAGAAATGGAAAGACATTCTCTGCTCATGGATTGGAAGAATAAATATTGTCAAAATGTCAATACTACCCAAAGCTATCTACACATTCAATGCAATCCCAATCAAAATTGCACCAGCATTCTTCTCGAAACTAGAACAAGCAATCCTAAAATTCATATGGAACCACAAAAGGCCCCGAATAGCCAAAGTAATTTTGAAGAAGACCAAAGCAGGAGGCATCACAATCCCAGACTTTAGCCTCTACTACAAAGCTGTCATCACCAAGACAGCATGGTATTGGCACAAAAACAGACACACAGACCAATGGAATAGAATAGAAACCCCAGAACTAGACCCACAAACATGTGGCCAACTCATCTTTGACAAAGCAGGAAAGAACATCCAATGGAAAAAAGACAGTCTCTTTAACAAATGGTGCTGGGAGAACTGGACAGCAACATGCAGAAGGTTGAAACTAGACCACTTTCTCACACCATTCACAAAAATAAACTCAAAATGGATAAAGGACCTGAATGTGAGAAAGGAAACCATCAAAACCTTAGAGGAGAAAGCAGGAAAAGACCTCTCTGACCTCAGCCGTAGTAATCTCTTACTCGACACATCCCCAAAGGCAAGGGAATTAAAAGCAAAAGTGAATTACTGGGACCCTATGAAGATAAAAAGCTTCTGCACAGCAAAGGAAACAACCAACAAAACGAAAAGGCAACCAACGGAATGGGAAAAGATATTTGCAAATGACATATCGGACAAAGGGCTAGTATCCAAAATCTATAAAGAGCTCACCAAACTCCACACCCGAAAAGCAAATAACCCAGTGAAGAAATGGGCAGAAAACATGAATAGACACTTCTCTAAAGAAGACATCCGGATGGCCAACAGGCACATGAAAAGATGTTCAGCGTCGCTCCTTATCAGGGAAATACAAATCAAAACCACACTCAGATATCACCTCACGCCAGTCAGAGTGGCCAAAATGAACAAATCAGGAGACTATAGATGCTGGAGAGGATGTGGAGAAACGGGAACCCTCTTGCACTGTTGGTGGGAATGCAAATTGGTGCAGCCGCTCTGGAAAGCAGTGTGGAGGTTCCTCAGAAAATTAAAAATAGACCTACCCTATGACCCAGCAATAGCACTGCTAGGAATTTATCCAAGGGACACAGGAGTACTGATGCATAGGGGCACTTGTACCCCAATGTTCATAGCAGCACTCTCAACAATAGCCAAATTATGGAAAGAGCCTAAATGTCCATCAACTGATGAATGGATAAAGAAATTGTGGTTTATATACACAATGGAATACTACGTGGCAATGAGAAAAAATGAAACATGGCCTTTTGTAGCAACGTGGATGGAACTGGAGAGTGTGATGCTAAGTGAAATAAGCCATACAGAGAAAGACAGATACCATATGGTTTCACTCTTATGTGGATCCTGAGAAACTTAACAGGAACCCATGGGGGAGGGGAAGGAAAAAAACAAAAAAGAGGTTAGAGTGGGAGAGAGCCAAAGCATAAGAGACTCTTAAAAACTGAGAACAAACTGGGGGTTGGGGGGGGGGGGGGGGGGGGGCACGGTAGGTGATGGGTATTGAGGAGGGCACCTTTTGGGATGAGCACTGGGTGTTGTATGGAAACCAATTTGACAATAAATTTCATATATAAATAAAAAAAAATAAAGTAAGTTATATCAGGGAGCATTTAAAGAAAGCTGTGCTTATATGTTTAAAATCTTTGAAATGGAAAGGACTTCAAGAAGGTTCCAGTTCACTGGTGTCTTTATCATCTGCCTGGCCTATACCAGCCACAAACCAAGCAGAGAACAAATTCTTCAAACAGCACTAATTACTGACAATCAAACTTGATGAAGGAATTTATAATGGATTTTAGAAAAGATTATGGCCTCTAAAGGGGGAAAAGAAATCCTCCTGGACTGTGATGTCACAATTAGTGAGGAGAATATTAAGTACAGAAACCTCTTACATCTGTTGCAAACATTGGGGATTGGAATCGTGCAGACTTCTAGAATGTTAGAGCTGAGGACCATCACATTTTCCGTAATTATATACTCTGCACTTCTCAGAGGTGTGAAGGACAGACTGAAATGCAGCCTTGTGTATCTTGTCTAACGATGGTGGCAGCGTCCATAGCCAGATCCATTTTTAACAAAGCCCGTTTCGTGTCTCTCTAGCCAAACTCCCTTCCTAGAGCTTCTTCATGTCAAATTCCCCTCGACTGCACAATTACCCTGGTGAGTCCTGTACAGCTGGTAATTTCAATTATTATACAATATGTCAGAAGGAACGATGTTGGAGATCGGGGGGGAAAATCAATTATCTGAGGAGAACTTCAGAAAGAACTGTAGCTCAGTTTAATGTCTCTGACAGTCACAGGGGTTATCTGCTGTCTTTTATAAAGTATTCCTCAAAATCTAGTATATGGAGAAGAGATCAAATGTGAATATAGCTCAGTCTATGAGCCAAGAGTTTAAAAAATGGGTCTTGGGGCGCCTGGGTGGCGCAGTCGGTTAAGCGTCCGACTTCAGCCAGGTCACGATCTCGCAGTCCGTGAGTTCGAGCCCCGCATCAGACTCTGGGCTGATGGCTCAGAGCCTGGAGCCTGTTTCTGATTCTGTGTCTCCCTCTCTCTCTGCCGTCCCCCGTTCATGCTCTGTCTCTCTCTGTCCCAAAAATAAATAAACGTTGAAAAAATTTATAAAAAATGGGTCTTATTAAAAATAAACAACCTCATGAGGTAGATATCATTCCCATCTTAAATATGAGGAAATAGAGACAGAGAGGCATGTAATTTGTCCAAGGTCACACAGCTTGGTGGAACCAAACTGGAATCCCAGATGTGACCCATGACACAGCCTGTACACTATAATTCCACCACAGAATTTTCTCCTAAGAACTATTATAAGAACACATCTGTGTTTTGCTCTTTCTTTCACCAATGCCAATAATTATATAACTAATAATTATATTTTTATCCTTTTCATCTACTCATTCATTTATTTAGTCTAAACTGTTTTTAATTCTTCTTTTGAGTCAATGAAAAGTAAATGCTTCTCCTCGCTTTTCTCTCCAGTGCCAGAGAGTTTATCAACTTGGAGACTGCTAGATATTCCCAAGTTCTCCTCATCTCCCTTAATAATAGAATCAGTAAGTTTCATAGGTAGGCAAGTGGTTACCTAGGGAAAGGACTACAGTGTCCGGCTTCCCTTGAATTAATTTTGGTCATCAGAATCATGGGACATAAACACAAGTTCACGTGGCAAATTCTGGAAGCCTCCATCAAAAGACAGCTCACACATGCTCTTTTGCATCCCTCTTCTTCGTCCCTTCCTTCTCCAAACTTCTGTCTGGAACCCATAGGTACCATTTTGAACCATAAAGATATGAACCACCCTAGGGATGGGAGATTAATGAGCTGAAATGAGCCTGGTTCCTGGAAAACTTCACAGAGCAGACTGGCCACACTCACCCTGAGCGGTCTACTTCTAGAAACTTATGGGGGTGGGGGTGGGGGTGGGGAGGAAGCACATCCAGTCATATAAGCCACCATTATTTTGGGTCTCTATGACTCACAGTCAAACATAACCTTAGGTGATAAACTTACCATCCCTCAGACTTGAAACAGAGACTCAAATTATAAATACATATTTATGTTTCCTAACCACAGTGCTGAATACAAGGGGAAGTAAACTATTTTTCAATATTTAAGTGTCTCAGCAATTCTTTCTCTCAACACTAGCAAGTTTCAGTATCCCCTACCTTTCTCTGTAAATTGTGAGCGATAGTCTTGTTTTCAATGACTGCGTTGCTCTCGAGGCGGACCAGCTGCTCTGTGCGAGCTAAGACTACATCCAGGCGCATGTCAAAGCCAAGTTCAGCAGCCATCTGGTTCAGTTTCATTTTCTCTGAGAGCTGATCCAGAAATTTAAGATACTAAACCCAAGAACAAAAATGAAAATGAGGCACAAAAACGAAGTTAACAGGTGATCTCACAGACTCCTTCTCTTTCTCCCAAACTTACAGATAGGTCTCATTAAACCCAGTATGGAGCCCGACCCCTGACCCCAGTGTTTGGTAATGAATTCCAGAACCACCTTGCCAGCTCCCTGCCCTGCTTCCTGTCCAAATCCACTTGACTCTCGTGGTCAGTGATCTTGATGTTCAATGTAACATGAGACACTCTTCTCAACCCTGCCATGTGACAAATCTGGCATCCTTGGGACAACATCTGCATCTCTCTGCTTTGGCGACAGGCTGCTGTCCCTTCCGCTAATCCAGCTTCTGGGATCTACTCATCCACAAACCTTCCATGGCAACTTTTCCATCCTAAGTGGGCCCTGGCCTCAAATGTGGAAAAAAACATGACAACAGTTGCCACTTTACTCCCCTTGGATTCTACAGATCACTCCAAAATCAAAGCTCTCCATACAAACACACTTGGACAACGTTTTTGCTTTTTTTTTTTTTAAACTTAAATTCCTATACCAAAAAAATGTCTTAAAGAGTTTTTAATGTAACATAGTTTAAGGAACAATATTGTAAAACACAGCCGTATCAATGAAGTCAAGGTTCAATTTTTAACAGGTGAATGTTACAAAATCGTTCCAGGATCGTCCTCCACTTGATTTCTTTATTTTTCTTCCAAGTTTTTATTTAATTTCCAGTTAGTTAACATACAGTGTAATACTAGTTTCATATGTACAATTTAGTGCCTCAACAGTTACATACGATGCCCGGTGCTCAATACGACAAGTGCACTCCTTAATCCCCATCACCTATTTAACTCATCCCCCCACACACCTCCCCTCTGGTAAACATCAATTTGTTCTCTAAGTTAAGAGTCTGTTTCTTGGTTTTCCTTCTTGTCTTTCCTGCTATGTTCATTTGTTTTGTTTCTTAAATTCCACACATAGAGTGAAACCATATGGTATTTGTCTTTCTCTGACTTACTTCTCTTAGCGTAATACTCTTGAGCTCCATCCATGTCGTTACAAATGGCAAGATTTCATTCTTTTTTATGGCTGAGTAGTATTTATTTATTTATTTATTTTACACACACACACACACACACACACACACACACACACTCACACACACCACCATTTCTTTATCCATTCATCAGTCAATGGACATTTGGGCTCTTTCCATGATTCGGCTATTGTTGATAATGTCGCTAAAACATCAGGGTGCATGTAGCCCTTGAATTCAGTATTTTTTTTTTATATCCTCCACTTAATTTCTGTGGTTTATCGGGCCCGACTGAGGAATGCTTACTAAGCACTTGTTGGATGAGTGAACCAATCAATGAACTTTCTGTATCATCACTTCATGATTTGGGTTCTGTCTTTGAAACTTTCTTCCCACTGCAATAAGTCTTCATCTATCTGGCATTCTGAGGTGACTATATGTTTAAATAAGTATGATTCCTGGGTGACTGAAGCATGCCAGTATAAAGCCCAGAACTATCAATACTTTTAGTCATCGAGATGAAATTATTTGTAAGTGAGTACTTTCAAATTTTGTTGAGTGGCATACCTACAATGTAATCTCTTCTTTGTAAGGCACGGTCACGGGAAGTACTGCTTATCTGCTGTGCCACACGGTGGTAGGTTGTGGTCTTGGGCTACAAGACCAAGACCAGAAGCTACTTTTGTTTCCACATCACCAGTTTCTCACTTCTTCATGCTGTGTCAGCACTCCCCTTGGAATTATTCATTTTGAAGGTATGGATGAAAGTAAAAATAATTGCTATTGTTTGTTTTGTAAATAAAATAGAACCAGGACCCTCCATGTGGAAGCATAAAGTCTCTCTTGCTACGTCTACATGTGACCCATCCACTTAGCATGCCAGGATCTACAACCGGCAAAATGGGATAAGGACAGGACCAAGCCACACCCCACATAGCAAGGGCCCGTTTCAAAGATCTCGGCTATGCCTCAAAAGGGTAGGGTCACTGGAGGGATTTCCTGGACAACCTATTTCTTTGAATCACAGTTTAGCATAAATATATTCTATTCTGTGTGCACCTCAATTACCTATATTTAAACTTAAACTCTGTACAACTTTGCTTTTCACTTTTACATGCCTGTCATCCTTACTAGGACGTGCAGTTCAGAGGTGGTGATCTACGGAATATTCGCCACAGTGGAATCCATTTACATAATTTGCTTTCGTAACTGAGAGTTCTTTTGGCACGAGCTCAGCGAAAATTAATGAGTCATTACAATGAAAAATAAAAAGGGAAGAGACACCAGTCTACCTAAAATTCTTGCTTTTTAGATCTTTCTTCACATTTTCAATACTATTTATTGACTCTTCCCTAATTGCTGGAGAAACCAAGAAAAAAGAAGAAAAAAAAAAAAAGATTTCCTCTGATCTCAAGAAGCTTGGAGTTGACTGGAGAAGACGGAAGACATTAGGTCAGTAAGTGCTGTGACAGACACACGCACATGTTGCATGAAGGAAAACTAAGTCTCTAAGGAAGGGGAAGGAGGAAGTGACATTGGAACTGAGTCTTCAAGGGACAGCTATTACCAGGTGAAGAAGGTAAGGAGAACTTTTTCTCAGAGAGAACAGCAACATGTAATATAGGATGCCAAGGAGGCCCCCAATTTTTTTTTTTTTTTTTTTTTTTGGCCATCCAATTGTTTTTTATAAATTTGAATGTGGATGTCTTCAGGCTCAGAGATCAATCACCACACACCCTTGCAGGGCCCTGTTAGTCCCCTGAAGCCTGGAGTTTGCCACCGTAGGCTGGAGGGATTACCACCGTAGGCTGGAGGGTGATGGAAAGCCTGGAGAGGGGATCTGGCCAGGTCACAGAATGCTTAGCCATGGAAAGAAGAGATCTGTAGCTGAGCCTGAAGGCCATAGAGAGCCCCTGGCCAATTTTAAGAAAAATTGGACACACATTTTATTAAGACCTCCCTGGCAAGGGTGGGGAGCTGTTGGAAGGTTGTTTGGACAGTCCATACAAATGATTATAATGTTTGGAGTCAGAGCACTGCTGCTAAATATAGAGATGGGGGGGTGACATTTGAGATATGTTAAGGAGATGGAATTTACAGTGTTTAGGAATTGGTTAAGAAGAGGGAAGCATTAAGAATGACCCTGGGGCTTTTGTCTCAGGTGGCTGGAGGCAGATTACGTCATCATCCCTGAGGCAGGAGGGGGCAAATTTGTGGAGAGGTGATCATTTCCATTTTGAAAATGATTAGTGCAATGTGTTCATGGGACATCTAGGTAGATAGCCCAGCAGTCAGATTTCTTCCAATTTAACACATTATACTCAGGTGCAACATTTCCTTTCAAACTCAAATTTTCAATCAATACATCTTTTTCAGATACTCTTCACCCTCCCAAATTTGTCAAATCTACCCCTTCATTCATAACCCCACTACCTGGTCCAAATCTTTATTACCTACTGTTCTATTCTATTCTAACTATCTATTCTAACAGTCCCCTAGCTGGGCTCCCTACCTTTCATCTCTAGGCCCTCAAAGCCAGTCTGCCTTCGGAGAAATCTTTTCTTTTATTCAAAAGCCTTCCATGGCTTCCCATTGTCTACAGGATAAAGCCTTGGGCAACTAGCCTTCCCTATCTCAATAATTCCTACACGTCTCCAGAGCCACCTCACGCCTCTGGACTCACCAGGCACCATGTTCCGTCTCCCTGTGCCTCACTGGTCTCCTGAGCAGGTCACAGCAGGTCACAACAGGTCACACCTCCACTCCTTCCTTCCTCCTACTGTTCTCGATACTGTGAATCCCTTCCCCCACCTCTTCTGCCTGACAAATTCCTACTCATTCTTTAAAGCCTCTCGTGATGCTACCTCCTGTGTGAAGATGGCTCATTTCCTCACTCACAGAAACAGGAAACTTTATCCAACTTCCTGTTGAATTTTATACCTCCCTCCATTAATTAACTCTTGTGTTCTCATTTACCTGTGTCATCCACTTAGACTAGGATTTCCCACAGACCTCTTACGTGTCTTTGCCTATCCAACCCTCCATGCAGGCGTGATGCTTCCTTGGCTTTCCGAAGTGCTGAAAAATGAGGATGAATGTGTTTCCAGAATATTTTTTTTAACCTAAGCGTATTTATTTTTCATGCCAAATCCAATCCCAATCCCATTTCTTTTTTTCTCTCTCTCTTTTTTTTCCTCCTGTGACTCACAACCATGTACCTTCCCCTCCCAGCCAATAAAATCTTCCTTCAGTCGTCTTGCTTCATGCCTCTTTTCTCTCTGGTCGCCAGACTTCCTAAGAATCTACCTCCGCACTCACCCCTCAGCCCGGAGCAAACTGGCTTCTGCTCTCCGCCAGTCTAACTGCCTCTGGACGGTCACAGATGGTCTCCCCACGGTCAAGTCATAAGTGGGGGCCCCTTCTCATTGTACTCTCCTTCTCTCACACAGGGTTATCGCCATTAGCATTCCTGAGTCTGTCCCTGCTGTGACTTCAGCTTCACCATGACATCGCGTCATCTTTCTAAAACACCGCAATGCTCAAAATCACTTACTACACTTAATACTCTACAGAAGCTAGAATAAAGAATCTTCGTCATCCAAACCATGCTAGTCTTCTCTCCTGCCACAACCCCATCCGGAATGCTGTGTTCCAGCCACACTGGAACAATCGCTCCGCACTATGACTACACTATGCACTTAGGAGCTTTCACGCCTTTGCTCGCACTGTTTCCCCTACAGTATCCGCACCCTCGCTCCTCTAAAATCCTACTTATCCTTCAAGGGTGAACTCCATTGCCCTCTCCCCTGTAAAACTCCTCTTATCCAGAAGTTATCATTCCCTTCACTGAGTTCCTACAGCATTTTGTCAATCAATACCTCTGTTACAACACATACAGCTTTATAGTCACAGCAAATGACTAGAATGTCTCCTCAAGTGAATTATGAGCCTTTTATGATCAAGAACTGTGTGTTACTCAGACCTTAGCCCTCAAACCTTCAGGGTCTCATACATAACCGGCATTCAACAAATACCTGTTGAGTTTAACTGGATTAATCCGAATCAAGAAAGCCCTAAGTACTAGGAAGACACCCCAAAACAGGACGTTGTTCCCTGACATTTACTCATTATGCAGACTTAACCATTCTACTGAAGTACTGTAAAATTCAGAACAGTTTCAGGTAAAATTTTAAACTGCAACAGATGTTTCTCCCCACAGATACCCTCGGGTTATTACTTTTTGTTTCTCAAAATTCAAGTTATCTCGCAAAACATCTCCAGAAGCCAGCTCTCCCTCCAGGTATGTCAGCTGACCCTGAAGAGTCTCCAACTTGCTTTCTGCTTTCTGGGCCCTCTGAAGAGCTTTCTGGTGAAACCCAGACTCATTTCCCAACTGTTCAACAAGCTCAGATATTCGGGCTTCAAGCTGGGAGACCATCTGGAAACAAAGAAACAGACAAGGATAAGCCTTGTTTCGGATGCACCAAAGTGTTCAAATCTAGTGCTCAACCCAAGCAACATAACTATTTATAACACCAACTTCCAGATTCTTTGTAAAAATCAAATAAAAAACAGGTAATTTGATAGCTGTATCTGCCTCTGCTTGAAATAAATCTGTATTCGTTACCTAGTAAAATATTTCTATTGGTATTTGTTTTCATTTCTATATAATTCCTTAAACAGGTTACTCGATAAATATTTATGGGTGATATTTACATACCCCTATAACTGCCATTAATTTAGGAGCCTCAAAGCTTAACTGGAAAAAAAGTTCAGACAGAAAGTGCTTTTAAAACCTATGCAAGTGTCATTCTCCAGAGAAACTCCTCCACCATATATGGCGGAGTAAAGATTACACAGTGAGTTAACTTTATAGTAAATTTATCCAGAATTCAAGTGCATAAAGATATTTTTTCAAGCTTTTTTGCAATTTTCCATTGAGTATCGGTTACTCAGGCACCAAAGTTCAGTGCTGCTGCTTCTGTGCTGTGTACTCATACAGTGATATTATCATTATAGCATTTGGAAGGTCAAACTCAACACAGCAATTCTACATGCAAGAAGGTGGAACAATCTGATTGCTACCTCCTCTCCCACAAAACGAAATCACAGTTTCTCCATTAAAGGCCCCCATTCTCTTCACACACTCCTAACTTTTCCAATGCTCCCATCCTTCCCTGGAGTTTCTCTCTTTGTCCTGACGTTCCTATAAATAAGAACGTAAGTTTACCAAAGACCTCGGGTACATGTCGAGAAGACTCAAACTGAATCTACCTGATCCAGTCTTCAGGAAACATTGAATTTAATAAAGACACCAAGTTTGGGGTGAAAAATATGTTTTGTTTTGATGGTTAGTTTCAGAAGAGAAAAAAGAAAAAAGTAGACATTTACATATTACTCAGTACCATTCTTACAGAAACTGAAATATCTTGATGGTTTCAGGTTTATAGTTTCTGTTTAAAAAAAAATTCTGCTTACCTATCAGTAACCATTTTAAAAAGCAAGAAAACACTCCAGCCATCTTCAAATATTTTGTAAAGCTATTATCTGGAAGAACACTAGGGTTTGCTCTGAGTTGCCCTCAGAGCTTAAGTTAAGGACCAACAGGTCCAAATCAGAGAAATAATTCCACTTCAGTGAAAGGAAGAATTTTTCCTGGTCCCCAAAATTACAAAGTAATATATACTCATTATAAAAGATTCATTAAAGGGGTGCCTGGGTGGCTCAGTCAATCGAGCGTCTGACTTCAGCTCGGGTCATGATCTCGCTCGCAGTCTGTGAGTTCCAGCCCCGCGTCAGGCTCTGTGCTGACAGCTCAGAGCCTGGAGCCTGCTTCAGATTCTGTGTCTCCCTCTCTCTCTGCCCCTCCCCTGCTCATGCTCTCTCTCTCTCTCTCTCTCTCTCTCTCTCTCTCTGTCAAAAATAAACATTAAAAAAAATTTTTTAATAAATAAAGATTCATTAAAGACAAAAGAAAAAGTTTAAGGAAAAAAAAACCACTCAGAGGTTAACAACTATTAATATTTTCAAATAATTTATTTTTATGCCCTGTTAAAATACAGGTGAGATACTATATTTGCAATTTTATGTCTTTGTGTTTATCTCGTATTTTAAGCATCTTACTGTGGCTACAGTCAGGAAGGTTAGACTACTTCATCTCCAAATGCTCAAATCATGTGCTTCTGTGGCTCTCCAGGTCCCAGGCCTGTAATTCAATTAATTCTATGCTTCTGTGGGTGCTTGAAATCAAATATTTGATGGCAAGCTGCTTAGCACCACATCCAAGGAATTGTGTTCTCCAAGGAAATTTCAATTTTAATTACAGAATATGAGCCTCTGAGAACTCCTCATTTTGTACTTCCTACCATTGGCACTTACTAATAAGAGATGTGATCTCAATGTAAAAGAAAGCTACGCCTGTCTTGGTATAATATACAAAGTCACCTACAAAACAACAGCCATCAAACAACACCCCCAAGATACTGCCCGGGGGGAGGAGGGCTGTTTAATGATATTATATTATACAAGGCAGAGCACATGATTCTGCGCAGTAGGAAATGTGTTTCACATTCGACTCCAAGTAGGAAGTGAGTCTTTCTACCTGGAAGTCCTTCAACACTTCTCCTACCCCATAGTTAACCTAACAGAATGAAACCAAAGAAAAAAGAGACACAGAAATCAGCTGGAGAGATGGAGAACTGGGTAATCACTTAGCCACAGTCAGTACACTGAAGAAGGTCCCAGAGGAAAGCAAAGCCTGCCAGAGAAATTGATCAGGAAAGACTCCCATTTTGGGGGTGCATGGCTGGCTCAGTCGGGGGAGCATGCAACTCTTGATCTCAGGGTTGTGCGTTCCAGCCCCACATTGGGTGTAGAGATGACCTTTTTTTTTAATGTTTATTTTTGGGAGAGAAAGAGAGACACTGAGTGTAACAGGGGAGGGGCAGAGAGAGAGGGAGACACAGAATCTGAAGCAGGCTCCAGGCTCTGAGCTGTCAGCACAGAGCCCGATGCGGGCTTGAATTCACGAGCAGTGAGATCATGACCTGAGCCAAAGTCAGCCGCTTAACCGACTGAGCCACCCAGGCGCCCCGGGTGTAGAGATTACTTAAAAAAAAAAAAAAAAGCTGAAATGCACTAATGTGCAAATAGCCCAGTTACATTTAAAAAAAAAAAAAAAAAAGCCTCCCATTTTGAGGATGACACCTCAGGCAATGGCTGAAAGTGTGAGTAAGGTAGTGATAACGACCCTGAAGAAAGAAGAGGACGTCCTGATGGAGACCAGACTGTGGCACGGGGTCTCTGGAGTCACACAGTCCTCGTCTCAAGTTCCCGCTCTACTACTTAGCAGCATGTTAACTGAAGCAGGTAATCAACCTGTCTGAAACTTAGTGTCTTTGCTCTGACGATGAGATGATAATTTAGATAATTTGAGCAGCACAGTATTTCACACCCGACTGAAGTTCAATGCACTGCATCCATTTTTACCATCAGTATTCCTACTCCAGTATGTTGGTTCAGTCACTCCCATGCTTCTGTCATAAAGCGTTAGAGGGGCCCTTCAGAAATTGTCCTAGATCGTGTTTCTCAAACCATCTGCAGCCCACAGAGCCTGTTTTTTAACTAAAAACCTTTCTGGGAAGGACAAATAAGGCGCAATGTGATATATCGAAGGTGACAAGGTTCCTCCTGCATCCTCACCCGGTGTGGACTCAAGAGTGCTCCACGAAGCTTGAAGGGTCAGCAGAGTATGACTTTTAAAATCACTGGTACGTAGACAGCTGAACTGTAAAGAAACTGCAAACTCGGGCACCTGGGTGGCGCAGTCGGTTAAGCGTCCGACTTCAACCAGGTCACGATCTCGCGGTCCGTGAGTTCGAGCCCCGCGTCAGGCTCTGGGCTGATGGCTCAGAGCCTGGAGCTTGTTTCCGATTCTGTGTCTCCCTCTCTCTCTGCCCCTCCCCCGTTCA